GATCATACTTGATATGAGTTCTAGTTTGTTTCATTCTTGTTCATACATATTTATGTGCAGAAAGAACTACCATTACGTTTGTTTTTTGGGAATGGTCCAAGAGTCCACAAGAAATTATGCATAGCATGGGGTGTGGCTGACAGACGCTGTGGACAATGTGGTAAAGTTGGACAGCTAGTCTGCTTTTCCCCAAACTTCCGAAAATGGGTATGTAAAACTTTCATGTGTTGTTCTATTATCCAACTAAATTACCATGAACAAAATTATTCGCAAAAGTATTATTTTTGACTATTTGTTGAGCTCGTTTTCGTTTTCCAGAATGATGACATTTTCATATGCATTTATGATTTTAGGCTTTAAGGAGAGTAACCGTTGAAGAGCTCAATCAAACTTGCAATAGATGTAATGAACGTGGACACCTCGATCCGGATTGTGATCTCTCTTTTACAACTCAAAAATCGGTACTAGAAGAATGAATTACATACATAGATTCTGTTTATGATTAAATAACATAACACAGAAAAGCATACATGAATAGTAAACTCATTAGTAAACAAGAGTTGTTGAAATGAATGCAGATGATGAGAACTTTTGGAAAGGGAGAAATTTGAGTCTTTTTTATTTCTCCATTTGACAGAAGATAAGAAACTAATAAATAGAGCATGATGCTTAATGGGGCACATGGAAATATGATAGAATGATGAGAATTGAAATGCATTTTAGAGTAAGATGAACTTAGAAGGAAATTTACATGTGAGATTGTTGGAGAGCATGGTTTGTTAATTCTAGATAGTTAATCCAACTTGTAATTCTGAATTTTGTAGGCTGAAATTCCTGTTCCCAAAAAGAGGTCAGTGCATTGTGGATTGTGTGGTAAAGTTGGACATAACCGAAGGACATGTTTGCAAGCAGGACGTGATTGAATGTTTATGGCTACAATATGTTATTAAGAATATCAGTACTTTTTTATCTTTTCATTTCTCAACATTCTCTTTTAAACTTTTTCATCTTAAACGAACTGATTATAAATACAGATTTGGTTCTTCCTAATTTTTCTCCATTCGGGCATGGCTTATTTGTATGCATAATCTCTGTTGCAAATGCTGATCATGACTTCATGTTGGAAAAAGTTATTTTAAGCATCATGAACTAAATCACAGTGTGGCTTTGATGGAGAATGACTTTTTGAGAAGCTAAATATATGAACATAAGGGCTTTTACTTCCTGCACCCTTCAATTTGTTAGCATACCTTCACAAATTTCCAAATAGAATTTTTGGAATCAGGTTTTCGGAATAGAAATTTTGGAATCAGATTTTCAGAAAACATTAAATACATTCCCAAGAAGGTTTTCCATAATAGGATTTCTAGAATAAACTTTTCAAAATGTATATATTGTCTTTGGAAACTAGTTTTCTATAATATTCCTAAATGAAATATATTTCAGAATTTTTTTTTTCGAAATACATAAAATATATTTTGAAAAGAGCTTTTATGAAATACTCAAAATATGTTTCTGAAAGAGCTTTTCAGAACAAATTATTTTTTTTTTATTTTTTCTTTTTTCTCTGCAGCGTTTTTCCTATCTTCTTTTTCTGCAGTGACGGTAATGATAGAAGCAGCAACAATGATGTAGTGGAGGATGTTTGAATCTTTTTCTATCATTATAGGGGGTGCAGGAAGCAATATCTATCCCTAAACTAGTATTTTCTCTAACAATTCATATCTAACCATTACTTTCTACACTCCATCATTTTCTTCCTTCACTCCATCATTTCTGATATTTATTTTAAACATAAAAAACAATTTCAAATTTTTTTTCTGGAAGTCAAACATCCCCAGGTCTCATGTGAGTAGCTGAAACCCTAAATTTAACAAAGCAGTAATAAAAAAAAATTGCAGTCGATCATAAGAATATGTATTAAGCCTATTCAATCAATGTAACGATCACATTGGCAGTACATTCAGAAATCATATTAATTATAAAAATTAAAAAAAAAATCAGAATCATTGATTTAAACTTGAAATTGAAAAATAAAAAATTCAAATTAATTCACGGATTTTAAAATGTGTATCCATTCAATCAAAAGAAAAAATATGTAATAGTTAGCACTTAGGTCCTAAATCACAAAATCTGCTCTTGCACAGGAAATATAATACCAAACATGAAACATTTTTTATGAATTTAGAGCATTGATTTAACCATTTATCGAAGACATGCGCAAATTTACGAAAGGTTAATAAATACTTTTGCAAAAAAAAAAAATTAAAAATCATACAGACTGCAACTTTGTATTTATTATGGTTATGAATCTTGTTTCTTTTAAGGGTTCTGTCCTTTTTATATGGATCGTGAAGGGTTATTATTTATTCATTATTATTTAGACCAACTTCTTGGTGCTATTCAAAATCAATAAACCAATTTTTTTAACATGCAACAAGAATGTTTATCATCCAAATAATAACACCATCATCGTTACGCCAACATATCATGTTCTGATTTTCCATAGTATGAGATTACGGTCTGACTATATTTATTGCAACAAGGACAAATATATGTTCAAAATCCAAATCAAACGTTATTTGAATTTCTGCTTGTCATTTTGACAACACAAGACAATTTATAAATCATTGCTTGACCCTAAAAGAAACCTATTTTTCGAAGCAAAAACATGTACCTGATCAAGAGACCTCGATATATACAAAGTAACATCTTCACATTCAAGCATCAAACACTCAAAAGAAGAACAAATAGCAGAAACAGAGAAGTTGATAGATAGAATGAAGAGGTTTTTCTCAAACGCATCCTTCATTTTATTAGCTACTCTCATCTTAGCAAGTTGTATTGAGTCTGAGGCTCAAAAGTGTCGGCCAAGTGGGAGAATCAGAGGAAGGAAAGCACCTCCAGGACAATGCAACCAAGAGAATGATTCAGACTGCTGCATAGAAGGCAAACTTTACACCACATATGAATGTTCACCACCTATGTCCAGCCACACCAAGGCCTACCTCACTCTCAACAGTTTTCAGAAGGGTGGAGATGGTGGTGGCCCTTCAGAATGTGACAACCAGTACCATTCTGATGACACACCTGTGGTCGCACTGTCTACAGGCTGGTTCAACCACAGAAGCAGGTGTCTCCACAACATCACCATCAGTGCGAATGGAAGAAGTGTGGTGGCCATGGTGGTTGATGAGTGTGACTCAACTGAGGGATGTGATGCAGACCATGATTATCAACCTCCATGTCCCAACAACATTGTTGATGCTTCTAAGGCTGTCTGGAAAGCATTGGGAGTGCCCCAAAATCAATGGGGTGGCCTTGACATTACATGGTCGGATGCTTGATATTATAAGTGTAATGTTTAAGTAAATGTTTCTGTATTGGATAAGATCTTTAGTTTTTATTGTGTGTGTATCATGTATCATGTACATGCTGTGAGATGTGAGTGTGAGGTTATCATCCTATTGTATTGTATTATATTGAAGGTGTTGTGTCAGTTCTCTATGGCAAAAAGAACTGAAACGTATACGAGGATTAATCTTAAATTTGTTGACTATGGGACACTTACCATTATCATGATTGTTTTTTAATATACTCTGATAGTTACAAACTCATCTTGATTTCAAATCCTAATTGTTTTTTAATATACTCTGATTGATACAGCTCAACATTAGGGAAAGAAGGTGTATCTTGAAAAAGAAAATCATCCACTAGAGAGATATGTTCCAGCGTTATCTTCAAAAGCATATCAGTAGATGTCAAAAACGTTATTCTGTCAACTTGATTCAGTTATCTGCTGACACTAACTATTACAGCCTTTTACTGATCACAGGTAAGTGATCAGCTTACAGAATCACTATATACACTTCAGATTTCAATGCCTTTATGGAAAGGCTGACTGCTATTGTTCTAATAAAGAGAGTTGTAGCTGTAGCAGGTAGCAATAATGGATGAGATGCAGATGAGAAGTGCAGGGAGTAAGGTGGTGTTGAGGAGATTACTTTCACTGAAATATCCAGAGATTGTTATTGTTCCATCTGCAATTACTCGAGCTAGAGTTCCAGCTTCTGTTGACAGCAATCCCCCATTGAAGGTTCCACGTGAAAGCCTTGATGACATCACTTTTGATAGAAGTGAAAGGTTTACTCCTGAATACAGCAAACAAAAATAAGAGGGCACATTCAAGGAGCAGATTTCAGCCTCAGATTTTACCACAAGTTGTGAAGCAATTTAATAGATCTAAAATATTTTCATGAGATTTCAGATTGTCACGTAAAGTATCCTTTTTGTTTCCTTTTTAACAACTAATGGACTTTGTTCATGTGACACTTCCCAGTTCAAGTAAAAATTCATAATTATCTGAATAGTTTAAATATTGTCATTTTCTTCGGATAATGTAGAGTTGTCAGCAAAGATTCTACTTATAAATTTTGGGAATCATTAACAAATTACCTTCAAGAACTTCAGCAGACACAAATGTGAGAAGGGCTGATCCAACATATTGAGTCACTGAATAAGGAATCATTATATGGAAGCTTAGGAGTAGTCCAATGCAAACCATGATTTCTGATGTGAGTAGAATTTGCCTGCAACCAGAAGCCAACCAGAATGGAATGATCAAATGTGTGAGAAAGTAATAGAAAGAGGTAAGATTAGTTGTTTTGAGATAGCAGATGACAAATGTGGTACAAACTCCATTTAAAATGTACATTAAACCATGAGCAAGTAACTAAATTTTTTTTATCACAAAACAAATCCTAGAGCTTTTGAGGATCAGAAACAAAATTACTATTAAAACGCCAATCTTTATGATCACAAGGAATTTGAATGATGATGACGATGATTAATAAGACAAGATTTCCTTAGTAATACTTGAATCTGTACCTTTCTTCAAACATGTTGCTGATGTAGTTTCCAACAACAATATTTACTGGAAGCACTGTAAGACCAAGACATGCAAGAAAAATGGATACGTTGCTGGTTGACCAAATGAAATAGTATTCCGTGATGAGGCTTGATTCGGCAAGTACGATCTCCATTGCATACTTGAGCATAAAATACACAAATAACTGAACCTGATAAATATATTTATAGTTAGTGCAAAAGCTTGAATACCATCACATTAAATTTTTCCAGCACAAAAGCCATGAAGATTCTACTACAACAATAACAGAAAAAGTCAATAGTGGTTTTCAGATATCATACTTCTTTATCTGTTTTTTGTTCAATTTGATACTAGGAATAGGAGTTCAGTCCAGTTCAGTATTAGTATAATAGGGTTAGTGCATCATATTTTCTATCACATCAAACAATGTAGATGAAACAAAAATCATAATCATGGGTTTCTGACCTTTACTGATGGTGTAAGTAACTTGTATGCCACCACAATAGAAGTCACTGGTTTCTTGGTTTCTTCAGCATTATCATTTTCCTCTTCTCCTTCTTCATCATGCTCTTTTTCTTCGGAGTTCATTAGTAATGGTTGAGTAGGCTCGTTCTCTACTGCAACATGTATTGCTGGTCCTATGAATTTTAATGAAATGAAAAAAGTAAAACTAATGGAACAGTTTGAGAGAAGCATCACTTCAGATCAACATGGTGGATTCGTTTCATATAAAAGTGATCCTGCTGTCATACCTGTAGTTGCTTCATATAGCACAAGATTTGCTTCATTCTCATGAGCGGGTTCCTTGAAACAAATCCACAACCACAGTAGATAGATAAGCCATGAAAGAGACATTACCCAGCCAGGTAGAGTGTCTTGGTTCATGGTTAACTTGTAAATCCTAAAATCTGTCTGTAACAAACAAGCAAGAGCTGGACCACAAGCCATTCCCAGAGCACTTGCACTAACAAAACCTGCTGAAGCCTGCATCCGAAGTTTCGAAGGTACACAATCACTGATATAACGCCTGTTAATAGCCCTTGCAGATCCTAACCTGAAATATAATTATATCAATCATGTAACTTAATAAAAGATGGAAATCACTTTGGTTGTTCTAAAATGGATAGAACCAAAGAGAACAGGAACAACATACCCGCAGAAAAGGCGTCCTATTAGTAGAACTACTATTGAATTCATATCAAAAGCCAATGCATACAAGGTGTTTCCAATCAGAAGAACGATGCTACTGAATACGAGGGGTCTTAGATATGATCGGTTTGACCATGCACTGAAATAAACTGAAGAAAACATCTGTGCAACAGCCATTGTACCAATGACAACACCGCAGACACTTGCTGCAGCTCCAAGGTTCAAAGTATAGTTGTCTGCCGTAGGTACGATAATGTAAGTGTTCACCATATACAAAAATGTGTTTGCCAAGTTCAAAAGAAGTGACATAAAATGATATCTTTCATCAACAATTTGATCTTCTGATGGAGATGGTAGCTCCTCTTGCATGGTAAAAGCATGTCTTCCCAAAAACTGAAGAAAGTTTGTTGAGTTTGATAATCTGCCTACAGCTGCTTTGATAGATTTGAGAACAGGATCCTTCAAGAGAAGTCAGAAGGAGACAGTCATCAAGTGTTGCAAGGATACATTAGGAAATAGGAAAAATAGAAATTGAAAACAATCAAAAATTGTTTACACTGTTTTATGTACAAACTTCTGAAAACAGAGCATAAAATAGCCCCTTGGATGCTATAAATTGTAGAAGACCAAGGGAACTCTTTTTTAACTAAAAATAAAGATAGAAAACAAAAACAAAAAATCTCTGTGCTTGTCTTTTCTCCACCGAAATTGGTATCAGAGCAAAGAAAAGTGTTGGTAATGCCAACAAATATCATGCAACTGCTAACCTGATGAGTATAAGAAGGCTGGTCATATATAGAAATGTAGCTTCCTTGACATTGTTGTAGATCTTGAAGGTCTGCCAGACCATGAGATAAAACACCAACAACTGCCCCAATGCCCTGCAAAGAAGCTATTACTGATACTGCTCAAACAAACAAAGAGCAAACAGTGAAAAATAAAAAACCTACTGCATCATACAATCTCACATTTTGTATTGTTAGTGTTGTTACATTAAGCAGGATGATAAAGAACCTACTTTGAAAAATAAAAAACCTACTGCATCATACAATCTCAAATAATTTGAACTAAAATTTGAAAAAAGTGGTATTCAGGGATAGAAACATTACCACTTGCCTGAAAACCTGCCTTAGTTGGGAATAAGGATGATTTGCTCGTGTCTTGACGTAATAGTCTGTGAATTTATAGCCAAACCGTTTGTCAATCTTCTTCAAGATCTTTCTCAGACCAATAGCATTCATTTCCACAAAAGTAAGAAGCCTTAAAAGATCTCGTCCCACATCTCTATAGGCTTCTTGGAGTTCAGAGATGTTTATACTATTTGGCTGCTGGAAAAGAGTGTTATGCTCTTTTCCAATATCTGACAGCCTATGTGCAAGTACTCCTTGTTGTTCAAGAAGAAACAAAACAATTTTTTCAATCTGAAATTCAAGATCAATGAAAGATTACTTAGTCTTTATCATATTTTGGATATATGACATGACTGATATGACTCTTAACCTCAATTTGTTTTTTGAAAATTTTAAGTGGCATTTTTATTTGATAACACAAAAACCTCTTTGGTTTTTCTCTTTGTACATGGGAAGTTAACAAAATAAAGGAATATCACAGAAAGATCATGTATGTTGTTGGAAAACCCATAATTGACTATCTAATAAGAGGTTAAGAAAGAGACTTTAAAAGTCTAACTCAACCTTACAGTAAATTAAGTTTGCATCCACTTATATATTATAAATTAGTCTTATCTCCGGTCGATATTGGACTTTCAACACATGTATTCAAGTTTTATACAGAGTGGGGGTGTCAGTTTCAGTGTGGTTTACTTCATGTAGTTGCTATCTAAACCTCAAGGTTTAAAAGGGACTATTTTAAAGTACGGAATAATTAATTCCCATAAAAGAAAAATGATAACAATGTCTGGTGTGCTTATCCTAAATAAAGCATCTTTTGTAGTAGATGAGTTGGAATTTGTTTGACAAATTCATAAAAGCCAAAAAAGGATGAGATGAACTTTTCCACACAAAGTGGAATATGTATTTCAATCTTATATAAGTGACAACATTAAGTTACCTGATTGTCTAGCAGCATTGAAAAGTCCCTGAGAACATTATGGCGATTTTGAGCTCCAACCTCCATTTGTTCTACATATCTCTTAACTTTCTTTTTCATTAACTTATAGTTGATATAATATCTGAAAAAAGTTCAATCAGTTTTACCAGAATTTTAACAACCATTTCTCGTTTTGGTGCAAGTATCATTACCACCATTAAAACAAAAGAGTTAAAAATACGACTACCAAATAGAACAGAAAGAATTAAACAATATTAAAGTTCACTAATCATGCCATAAACAAAAAAAAAAAGAATCAGAAAAATCTTATGAAATCATCTTTATTTCTCGTCATCGTACTTGT